TTTGATTGCTGACAAAAAGGGGGAGAACAAGAATGATATTTTTCAATAACGGACTACTGAGACAAAAAGTCTCAAACATTCTAACACTCTGATATACTTGAATGTTTTTGTTTTGCATAAGCTTACAGGTACAAGAAGTTAATCATCTCTGATACACTGAAGCTTTGATGTTCTGATGTTCAAAGAAAGTCAATAAAGATCTGATCCTGAAAGACTCATGAAATTAAAAAGGGAAGTAATAAACTCAGGGGGAGTATTTCCGATCTAAACTCTGATATCTCTTTATCCCTTATCCTCTTATCTTTGATAACTTCCTATTTAATTCTGATACAATTTATTATTTGGTTATCTCTGATACTTTTCACGTTAATTTTCAATTGAAAAAAAATCTAGTTTTTGTCATCATCAAAAAGGGGGAGATTGTTAGAACAAAGTTTGAATCTACTACCCTAAGTTTAAGTTTTGATGATAACAAAATGCAAAGATATATAAATTGTATGATTCATGTAAGACATATATGCTACCTAAAAATTACATTCTGTTTTACAAAAACTCTGATGGGTATCAGCAAGAGAATATCATCATCAGCATCAGAAGATGAAATATCAACATCAGCATCAGAGGATGTTATATCAAATGCCAGAATCAGAAGATCAACATGTGCTTACGCTGAAGCTTGATGAACAGATCTGCGCGTAATAATCTGAACTTTGATCAAGACAACAACAATTTATCAGCACCTAGCAGCGTCAGAATAAGCCAAAGCCAGAACACGCTTAAGTGGCAACGGTACTGTGCATTCAAGATACTTTATTATCAACGGCATTATTCCAGACAAAGATCTGCTCAATTTGGAAAGAATGTAATTGGCATTAAAACGGAATAACTGGCTCCAACGTAATCATTTCCAATGCTATATAACCAAGTCAGTGAAGATTGAATTGGCTAATGCTCTACAACTCTCTACACGCCTAAAGCTATTCATCATCATCCCCATTCACAGTTTGCTAAAACTCTCAAATTCCTTACTCAATTATTTTAGCACTCTAGTTCTCATAAGCTTAACGTGTGTAGTATCACAGTTGTGATAAACAGTTTTTGTAGAAAACATTCAACACACTTAGATTTAATTTATCTGTAAGAAAGTATTTCCTTGAGAAACCGGTTTGTGGTTTGACTCAAGAAGGCTTTAGCAGTTGTTAAAGCAGTTGTAATATTCAGTTGAATATAGTGGATTAAGATCTCGTTGGAGAGAGGCGAAATCACCTTGACGGGTGGACTGGAGTAGTTTGAGATCAAACGAACCAGGATAAAAATACCGTGTTGACTGCAATTGTTTTCAAGTTTTTACAATTCAACCCCCCTTCTTGTGTTTTTCACTTCTTCAGTGAACATATGTAAAATCAAAGGGCTTTTCCGTAAAAGTATATGACTAACTAAAACCTTTTTTTTTCAAATATCTTAACCAAGAGAAAATATTCTCAAAAGTGTCTTAAAGTTGTGCCAGATGACTTAGGAGCTGTGAGAATAGCTAGAGAGAAATATCTGACCAATCTAATCGATTAGGTCTTTTTGGTATCGATTAGATCAGTTCAAACTTAAGCCCCGAGCTACTTAGGCAACTCCTTAATAATGTATAACAGCTAGATATATCTTATTTCCTTTTAAAATGACCACCAACATCTACTTTTCATAATCTAATTGATTAGACTAAAGTGATAATCGATTAGCCAACGGTAAAAAAAAAATTAAATGAGAATTCTATTTTGGGCACACTTCTCGCCTATAAATAGAAATATCATTTCTCATTTCTGAACATCCAGAAACATGTTTTGACATTTCCCTCTCTCACATACCCGCTCTAAAGTTTTATTTAACTTTCTCTCACTAGATGTTATTGTTGAAACAAGTTTGGTTCGTCAACTAATCCTTGATGTTTTGATGATAACAAGTACATTTGTACGGAGAATAATTTTGTACTCCAGCGGCTTGTTTAAGTGTGCAAATTTTATTTGTAGATTCTGGACTCTGAACATGCAAGTTATGGACTCTGGATAAGTGAAGTTTTGGATTCTGAATAAAGCATCTCTAGACTCTGAGCAATCAAAACGCACTCCAATCCAATTGAAGAAAGAAGTGTTTCCAATGAAAAATCTGCTCCTACAAGTATCAAGTCAAGAAATGAAAGACTTTATCCAGATTGACTCTGACAACTCAAGGATTTGAAGACTCAACATTTCTCAAAGCACTGATGACTTACTCTGATCAGGCTTCATCCAATTTTATTAGAAGCCTTTAACTCAAGTGGTTAGAAGTGAAGAAAAGTTGGTAACTCTGGACTCTGATCAAGCTTCACCAAATTCTATCAGAAGTCTATGATGCAGAGAGATTACTATGAAGAAAGATAGTGTGAAAATATTAAAATATTACAAATCAACATCATTTCCACTACCTCGTGAGATAAGACAGAAGGACTGTTTGTCAGTACCAACTTTTTCAATTGTACCATCACCACCTTCCACTATGCTGCTACTGCCACTATAATATTGTACTACTCAACGTCTCCATGCAAGTTATGGATTACAAAATTCTAACTTTACTCTCCAACAGATCTATTTTTATTTATATAAAAGAGCGTTTGAAGCCATGAAAAAGAAAAACAACGAACTTGAAACGCATAAATCATATACAAAGAGGTTAAGAGAAACAATTAGAAAAACTGTTATTTTATTGAAAGCTTCATAACTTTCATTCTTTGAAATCTCATTGTATTTTAACTGTATGTATTTGTTTTCTAAGAAGCATTCTGTAAACACCAAACTTTGTAAGTTAACCAAGTTGGTTAAATTTTCTTGGGGACTAAATGTTTAGTAAGGATCCTCAAGAAGACTTAGACAATTTGTATTTGTGATTGTAATCAAAGGGTATTTGATTAGTGTAAGTCCCTGGTGATAAGGCAAAATCATCTGAATTGGGTGAACTGGGCGTAGCCTAGTTAACGGTGAACCAAAATAAAATTTTGTGTTCTTTATTCGTGCTATCATTATTCGTTTGTTTGGGTGTTCGAAAAAATATTAAATCTTGAAATCCAATTCAAATCCCCATTCTTTCTTGTGTTTATGTGAACCTTTAATTGACATCAAAGTTCTGATTCTTATAGGGATTATTATAAAAAATAGTTAACCATGTCAGATAAAGATCCATTACTTGAAACACAGTGGAAGATGTTCATGTATCACCTACAAACACCAACAATGATACAAATCAATTTGCTACTAAACCACCAGTCTTTGATAATAGCATGGATAGTTAATCAGGTAAAAAGGGATAAGGATGTCGATGCCCTAGTAAAGGAGGAATGTGAAAAGTTTGAGTTTCTTGGATAAATTGGTTATTGAAAATTTGTTGGTTCTTGTCATTTCAGTTCTTCATTTCTGCATTTTTGTTTGTTGTATTCATTCTTTTTCAAACGATCAATGAAAAATCTTTATATTTTTAGTTCTTTGTTTATCCTTTTCATTCAATCATTATGTGTATTCTACATTTTTTTTTTGATTGATGACAAATAGAGAAAAAAAGAATAATAATTTTGATATATATATTTTCCTAATAGAATCAAACATATGACATATTTCGTTAGAAATATAATATTTTGAACAAATCTGAATCTAATTATTATATTCATATATACTCTGATAAATTTTAATTATATACATGAACTCTTATATTTATTAGTACAAATTTTGATCAAAGACACTATTAAGATTTTCTTATTCTCAGAACGAGTTTGTAAATTATACTCTAATAAGATTAAAAATCTATGTTTACCTTAAGTCTTCATTATATATATATATATATATATATATATATATATATATATATATATATATATATATATATATATATATATATATATATATATATATATTTTCTTTGAGATAATAAATGGGTCTCTCTCATTGAAACTATGGCGGACCCAGACCAATTAGTGTTTAGCTCAAGAAAGAAGACAAGGGAAGAAACTTGTAACACTATATTTCAAGATTTTAAATATGGTTTCAGTTTTATTTTTCTTTCTATTAGTAGTAGTAGACCTTACATTTGTAAATGATTTGAACCCCCACCAAACAACTTGGCATTAATTATATATTCATGCTAACAACAATACTCATAAAATAAAATTCAACTTTTAGGTAAGTGATGCTAATATCCATTGGCAGCCAAACCACATTGTTGACCTGCATTCCTATAAAGTGGAATTCCGAAATTACCCTAAGTGGGAAAAGACCACAGTCTACCAAAAACTCATGTGACTCATTCACCAAAAAGAGTAGATTTTAATTATTATTATTAATAATTAATTTAATAATAATAAATTCAATAAGTTTTGGAAAATGATTGGGCAGACAGCACGATAAATTATATTTATTCATTATTCACGTTACCATATAACCGAAAGTTACTGTTCAAATCATCTTTCATTTTTCGAAAATAACTTTTTAAAAAATAAAATAAAATGGATTTTTATTTCTCTAAACAAAAAACAAAAGTCGCTAAAAAAAAACAGCCATAATGAGTTTTTGTAGAAACAAACAAACAGCAATATTGAGTTGGCTTTTCTTCTCACATACAGAAACTCTGAAGAACGAAAATTAATATCATAACGAACAAAAAAATCATAAACAATAAGAGAGAAGAAAGAAAAGTTTTAGAGAGAGAAAGAGAGAGACGACGATAGACGAAGTCTCTGCGAAACAAGTTAAGTTTTGACCCTCTCACAGCTTCGATCAAACCCATTTTTTTCCCTTTTTCTTCACCTTCCCAAACACGCCCTAGTTTCATAAACCTTTAAAATCACCTTCTATTCCATTCTAATTCTCCAAAGAAAAAAAAAACTAAGAAACTTTTAATTCATTCCCATTTTACCCTTCTCAGATCTAATTCAAATTTCAAACCCAGATCTCAAATTATTTTTAGGATAAATCTCTGAAAAGAAAACCATGGGAAATTGCTGTGCTACCCCTGCAGTAACAGGCGAAGACACAACCAACAAAAAAACCAAAAAGCCCAAAAAGGAGAATCCCTTCGCAATCGATTACGGCTTCAACAACAAAACCTCGAGCTCAAAACTCACCGTTTTGAAGGATCCAACCGGCCGGGAAATCGAAGTCCGTTACGAGCTCGGTCGCGAGCTCGGTCGAGGTGAATTCGGGGTAACGTATCTTTGCACAGACAAAGAAACCGGAGAGGAGCTAGCGTGTAAGTCGATCTCGAAGAAGAAGCTTAGAACTGCTATTGATATCGAAGATGTTAGGAGAGAAGTTGAAATCATGAAGCATATGCCAAAGCATGGTAATATTGTTACGTTGAAGGATACTTATGAGGATGATAATGCTGTGCATCTTGTTATGGAGCTTTGTGAAGGTGGAGAGCTTTTTGATCGGATTGTTGCCCGGGGGCATTATACTGAACGCGCCGCCGCGGCGGTTACGAAAACTATTGTTGAAGTTGTTCAGGTTTTTGTTTCTATTTTTGAATGATTCTCTTTTATTCGATCTAATTTTTTGTTTATTTGAATTATTGTTATTTGATTAGGACTTTAAGTGATATGTTTAAAACTTTAATTTTTTTTTTTTTTAATTTTTAAAATGAATTTGGTTAACTGATTTTGATCTTTTAGTGAAGTTGAATTGAAATAGTTTTGTGCGGCCAAGCCAGCTCAGTTGTTAGCTGTTACCTGTGCGTGCTTGTTTCAACCCGCAACATCTCACTTATTCATTAAAATTATAGGCTAATTGACCAAAATATTTTTTTAGAAAATTAAGTTGATTTAATTAATGGAGTTTACTTTGTTATGGTGTATTGAAGAGCTGTTTTTGGGAAATTGTTATTGTTTATATATTTGGAATATAATTATGTTATTGGGTGAACATTAAATGCATATCGGGGTTGGTTAAATTGGGATTTGGCTGTGTGTAATTTGGTTTTCTTTTCAGTTTCTTATACTGTGTGGATGCTTTGCTTTTTCATTTGCATTGATGTGTTTGTGAGTTGGGATTGTATTACTTCTATAATAAGAATATGATCATAATTATTTATTTTGTTGTTTGTTTTAGATGTGCCATAAACATGGTGTGATGCATAGAGATCTCAAGCCGGAGAACTTTTTGTTTGCGAATAAGAAGGAAACAGCAGCTTTGAAAGCTATAGATTTTGGTTTGTCGGTGTTTTTTAAACCAGGTACGTGATTAAGTCTGCAATGTTTCTTGATTTTTATTGGATGGTTGGTTTCATGGGTTTGCAATTGGATTAAAGTTTGCCGTTTTATGCAGGTGAAAAATTTAATGAGATAGTTGGAAGTCCATATTATATGGCTCCTGAGGTGTTGAAGAGAAATTATGGCCCAGAAGTAGATATCTGGAGTGCTGGAGTTATTTTATACATCTTACTTTGTGGTGTTCCTCCATTTTGGGCAGGTTAGTTTCGTCTTGTGATTCTGCGAATGATGTGTGATTGCTTCTTAGTGATCAGCATCTTAAATGTTTCCATTCTTCTAGTCACTGTGAAGCTCGTGCGACTACTGTTCTATAATATGCTTAAAGAAATTGTTGAAATAAAAATAAATGCAATGTTCATCGAATTGTTAAAAGAGAGAGGATTTTGCCATTCACTTCAGAGTTATTTTAATTTCATCATTATTTGCTGTTTGATTAGTCTGATTTTCTAATTTCGTCTCTCTTCCTCTTTTGTAAAATGAAGAAACTGAGCAAGGGGTTGCACAAGCAATTATACGATCTGTTGTTGATTTCAAAAGGGACCCATGGCCAAAAGTTTCGGATAATGCAAAAGATCTTGTGAAGAAGATGCTAAATCCTGACCCAAAGCGGCGACTTACTGCACAAGAAGTGTTAGGTAGGTAACATGCAGTTCATATTCTGCACACAAAATTGACATGTTTTTCTCTTTATATTTTTCCACACCGAAATGTAAGATTGTAACATTTTTTGTTCGCTAAATGCAGATCATCCATGGTTAATAAATGCAAAGAAAGCACCCAACGTTTCATTAGGAGAAACAGTTAGAGCAAGGCTAAAGCAGTTTTCCGTAATGAACAAGCTCAAGAAAAGAGCTTTGAGGGTAATTTTCTTAACAATGTTTAAACGTTTCTCGGGGAATCATCCCTGAAATACTAATCCTTTTGCCCATTTTCACGAGTTGTTCATGTTCTCTCTACAACTAATTTTTCTTGTGTGAACAGGTTATTGCCGAGCATTTGTCGGTAGAAGAAGCAGCGGGACTAAAAGAGGGATTCAAGCTTATGGATACAAGTAACAAAGGAAAGATCAACTTCGATGAACTACGGGTAGGCTTGCACAAACTAGGCCATCAAATTCCAGACGCTGATGTCCAAATTCTTATGGAAGCTGTGAGTTTTGTTTCCATCCTTTGTCTAGATTCTATTCTCCACATTTGCATAAACGTTGTGTTAAATTATTGCTCAACACACTCTTCATCTTCTGATGTTTGAGAGCTTCTGCTTTTACAGGGTGATGTTGACAGAGACGGGTACCTAGATTACGGGGAGTATGTTGCCATTTCAGTTCATTTGAGAAAGATGGGAAATGATGAACATCTTCACAAAGCCTTTGAATTCTTTGATCAAAACCAAACTGGGTATATTGAGATTGAGGAGCTTCGCAATGCATTATCCGATGAAATTGAAGAAACAAACAGTGAAGAGGTCATTAGTGCAATTATGCATGACGTGGACACGGATAAGGTTAGTTAGCCTATTTTCACTATCCAAATCATTTTCCATCTTCTATTATGTGGTTATGCTCGTAAGATAGTTTTCTCTTGTTTTATTCAACAAGCATATACATATTATACAACTATCCTGCATTCCAAGGTTTCTTAGTTTCCTGTTTTGTTTTTTCTTTTTTTACTTCGGAAGATACCTAAAGAAAAGTTTTTATTTAACTCTATGCCCCCTTGCAGGACGGAAAGATAAGTTATGAAGAATTTGCAAACATGATGAAGGCCGGAACAGATTGGAGAAAGGCATCAAGGCAGTATTCGCGAGAGAGGTTTAACAGTCTGAGCCTGAAATTGATGAAGGATGGGTCATTACAATTAAACAACGAAAAACAATGACTGTAGATGACGACTTTCTTTAAGAAAATATCCAAAGTTTACTTATGGAAAAAAGAAAACATGATAAAGAAGTCTATTATTTTAATTTTTAACCTTCTCTACATTGTAATTCTTTCATCCAAGACCCACCCTATTTATGGGTGGAAAAATAGAAGTTGGTCCCAGCAGTGATGCTATTGTTGTGTGTATGTGTTTGTAATTTTTTCTGCGTTTGTTGAGGTTGTGAAAAGAAGGAAGACAAGGAGAGGGTGGGAGAGATTGAACATGTCTTTGTTTCTGGTTGTAAATATTTCTAAATGATCATGCTTTATATTAACGTCGCATTTTTAGGCAAAATTTGCCCTGTCATTTTATCTATCAATGCACTATATTTTATTTCTTATATACTAGTAACTAGTAATGTTAATCTCTTGTTGGTTATATAATTTATCATAGATTAAGTTCATTAGTTGAACTATTTACTTTGTTGTTGTTTTTGTCCTAAGCATTTGATTCATAGTGGAATGAGGCATTGTTAATATTTAACTTATCTCACTGGCCACTTGAGTTGTTCTTCACTCCATAGGGTTAAAATGTAATTATACAATTATAACAAATGTCAATATCAATATATATCTCATAAAAACATTATGTATTTAATTTTTGGATAGTATAAATAAGTATATATTCAAGAAAGTAGACTTGACGTCTAAGTGATAAAGGGATCAATTCTTGTTAGTTGTTATTTCCATAACTAGTTTCACCATCTCAAGTCTTGTCGCAGGAGAAAAACACTTCATTATAATCGTTGTCATATCTTCTCAAGAAACCTCTAGATGTTAACTGATCGTACCTGATCATAAGAGATTGTCAAGGTCCACAAACATTGAGTCGAGCAGCGGTTGAACGTAAAATGAGGGAACTATCTACAAGACATTCAGATGTCAAAGTAAGGTTCAGAGAAAATACAAGTAAAGTGGTAGAGTATGGATGAATGAATGAATACCTGACCCTCTCAAGTGAGGGTTTTTATAGCCCCAACGCTGGGCCAAAGTCTCTAGTGTTAGGTCACGATAAGACCCAATAATGAAGACTGCCAAGGTTTACGGGTGTATGTAGTCCAACACGTGGCCTCCTCTCTGGTCAACAGTCCCGAGAAAATAGGGAAGTTTGACCCGTTATTCTCGGAGGGCAGGATGATGGCGTTATAGAAACGTGTAAGTCACGTTCCTCAAGTGGACACGTGGGGAAATGCCCAACGGTCCTTGGTTTGGGTTGCATGCTTTTGGGCCTTTGTAGAGGCGTTGGATTGGGTCTCCCCAATGGTGGGGCAGGTGTCGACCCAGTCCAGAATAGGAGCCCCCAAGTTATTGCCCTTACGCGAAAGGGCAATGACTTGAGATCAGTTCAAGTGTCGGGGAAGCGTTGCCCAAGAGGGGAAACTGTCAACTCCCGTCAACTCCCATCGAGGAGGACTCCGAGCTCGCCCGTGGCGTGGTCGACTTGTTCTGGGAGAATTTACTAGGCCGACTTCTTCTTCTGCTCGTATCAGTGTGGTGTTTGTTTGGGATCTATATTCGCGGGGAGGCGAGGAGTTTCCTCGTGCTCGCATCCTCGATGTGCCCGTAAGTAAGGCGTCATAATAATGTCGAGCGCGTGTTCGACAACGGGGATGACACAACATAAATGTATGGCTTTGCGCGTGAGACTCTTGTTAGCGGCGTGTCCTCTCGCGAGTCTTACGTGGCAGATGTTTAGAATACCATCATTACATAGGGCAATCTAAGAGTCTAAGTAATGATGACCTTTCGTATGTTACCCCGTGTGGTGGACACTAGCTATAAAAAGGGAAATCACGAGATTCATTTGACATTTTCAAGTTCTCTCTCCTCCTGTTTCTCTTCCGTTCGCTTGTTGCTCTGCTGCTCCAACACCGCCGTAGACGTCTTCAACGTTCATCTTCTCCAAGTAAGCAATTTCGTCTTTAAACGTGATTTCTCTTAGATTTTTAGACCGAACACTTGAATCTTGTTATGAATGGATGAATTTTCAGATGAAGTTCATGAATTGAGGATGAACATTCATGGATTCTGGAATAAAGGTCCATGAACTTCATCCGGGTTAATGAAATACAAATGAAGATTCATGGATTCTTAGAGAACTTCATCTGGACTTACGTCGAGGTCGTCCCCCCTTTGAGCAGGGAGGATTTGGGCAAGTAGCTCTGTCGATGAAATGTCCCAACGTGAGGGTATGAATATCCTCTGCGTTCACTATCAAGGGCTTGGGTCAAAGACCATTCCTCGACGCACTCGTCGCCCTTTCACTTGATCTGCGGTGGAAGGGTGAATTTGATGATGTCAAATTCACTGTTTCCCCTGCTTTTCAGGTATGGTGGCTCAACCAGTCGAGGAAAATATTATGCACGACACCAATGGGGGTGAAATTGCAGTCGCGGGCGATAGCCTGTCATGGGTTGCGCCCGAACCCCTAAATAAGAGGTTCTGTTTTGTGAAGGATGCTTCTGACGCGTTCAATGTCCCCGAGGATAAGGCAGATGATGCCCCCGCCTCCTGGTGTAGCGGTAAAATCAGTGAAGTCGCCACCGAGTATTTATTTATCCCATATGAAAGGGAAAGGAAAATCATCGAAGAAAAACCTAAAGGGTGAAATCAAGGTCTTGCGACCGAGAGATTGGGTAAGGGAGTCGATTATGCGAGGGGAAAGTATTAGCACCCCACACGTCCATAGTACTCTACGGTATCCACTCTCGTTATTCTAATCAAAGGGTGTGTTCAATCTAATGCTTAAGGGTTATAAACTAAGAGAGAATGTATGCAAAGAAAAGAGAAAGAATGTAGGGAAAATAAAGTTGTACTCGCTTAGGCCCTACCCCAATGCCTACGCATCCTTTTTGAGGAATCAGAGCTACCGTAGTCCGACTCACATATTTTGTTTATTTATATTTTTTAAATGAACAATGTTGCATTCGATCATTCCACCGCTGTGAAGGAAAATTGCGATCAAAACGCAGCGGAATATAAAATTTTCCTTTAGAGATCCTTACGAATGAGCATGGTCAGTGATAGAAAGTTTTACCTCTTGTGGCGATTCAGACCTTTGGGTTATGATCACGAGCGTTGATGAAGAACAACGCCTCTACTCAGTCCACACGAACAGATCGCTTCCGGTCACAGTGCTAGCTGATCACGAACGGAAACCTTGAGTGAGAGAGAGAGTCAAAAACGAAAATGCATCAAGTGAAAAAACTTCATCACAAGGGATCTATTTATAGAATCACTCGTGTGGGCTACAAGCTAAAAGCCCAATTAAGGCTATAAGCTAAAAGCCCAATTAAGCTTATGGACATCATACCTTATGATGTACCATATATCACTTATCCACGTGGTACCTTACCACTTTCCGTATTACACTTAAGTGCACCGTACCTTACGGTGTTCCTTATTTATTCTATCTCTCATCAACCTGTCCTTATGTGTGTGACCCTGTAGGTTTTCGCGACGTTGGCAATTATATTAAATTACACATTTAATATAATAAACAGTGAGCGGTATCTAGCAACACATCACTGTTACCCAAGTCACGAAAATGTCATGTGATCTGACCAAACCTTTTCCGTGATAATATTTGTGTTGTACAATTACCCTTTTGCCCTCATGTCTATATTGAACACAAGGCATACACTGTGTCACCCTTGTCCAGTTCAATATTGGGCCCTTAGACATTTATCCTGTTATGCAGGATGAGCAAATTCCATCTAGGTCACTCATGTCCCTTAGCATGCTTTGTGAAGTACCCATCAACCATCTTTATAGTCATCCAGTTACGGATGACGTTTGATCAGCAATAAAGTACTTGACTCTACATCTAGGGTCCATAGTGGTTTCAGGTCGAAGGGTGGTATACACCATTATCATCATGAGAATAACTTATGACACTTTGCATAACATTCTATGTAGTATTCTCATAACGGGTCAATCCAGTATAAATATTACTCCTAATATTCATACCTATGTCAAGACTTGATAACTCCTTATCTATGATCCATGAGATGTGATCATCAATCTATCTTCATAATAATCTTAATGCTTTAATGTTATCCCACTTCACATTAAAGCTTGACTACGGATACTTTAAGAATAGTTTCTTATGTTTAATGGGATCTCATGATTAAGTCACACTTAACATTTCATTAAACCAATAAACCATTCTAGGGACTTTATTATTTTGGAAAACATAATAAAGAAATGCCTTTTATTATTAATAAATAATTCGATACAAGTACCAAAAGTATTGGCCTCTAGGGCTTACACCAACAATCTCCCACTAGCACTAGAGCCAATCAGGCATACCCCTAATACCCATAGATCTAGTATGTCCATCATGCTTTAGCTGCGCAAGAGGCTTTGTTAATGGGTCAGCAACATTGTCAAGTGTAGGTACTCTGCATATTTTCACATCTCCCCGATCGATTATCTCTCGAATGAGATGATAACGCCTAAGTATGTGTTTGGATCGTTGGTGAGATCTAGGCTCCTTAGCTTGTGCGATAGCACCATTGTTATCACAATAGAGATCAATGGGATCCACAATGCTATGGACTATGCCAAGTTCACTAATGAACTTCTTGATCCAAACAGCTTCCTTTGCTGCAGTTGAGGCAGCAATATACTCAGCCTCGGTTGTAGAATCAGCAACTGTATCTTGCTTTGAACTTTTCCAGCTCACAGCGCCACCATTTAAACAAAACACATAACCAGATTGCGATCTAAAGTCATCTTTATCTGTCTGGAAGCTAGCATCAGTGTATCCAATTACAGCAAGCTCTTCCTGACCTCCATATATCAAGAATGAATCCTTAGTCCTTCTCAAGTACTTAAGGATATTCTTGACAGCTACCCAATGTGCATCACCGGGATTAGACTGGTACCTACTTGTTGCACTTAAAGAATACGAGACATCTGGTCGAGTACATAGCATGGCATACATGATAGATCCTA